TGCACAGACAGCAGCAGCCTTACTTCACAGCAAGCACAGCACCCAAGGGTGTCATCATGTCAACAACGGAAAATAACTCCAAAAGTGTGCAAAAAATAGGCAAGACCGAGCACAGAGCGCTGCATTCCTATATTTCCTCCCAGGTTACCTGTGAAAAGGGTGAAAAATCCTGAATGATGTCTAACCGAAGCCAGGATTTTATGAAGAGGCGGCCGGTAGGTGGGAGTGAGGCTGGCGGTGGACTGGATTCCCTGACCCGTTCCTTGGCCCTTGATTCCATCCTCACAAGAAACCTACTCTAGCTCTTCCACCGAGTTCTGTAGCAGACACAGGACACCGTGGATGGGTCTTTATCACCTTAGCCATAACCAGGCATTTCTCTCAGTGTCCTGAATTGCTCTTTTTGGAGACTGTGCTCAGGCACATGACTGGGAGAAAATAATGAAGTCCAGACTGGTCTTGGCAATTGCTCCCCATCATGGGATTCACACGTGGAAAAATGTCTGGTTCCTCTTTTCTCTCTGTGAAGGGTTTTTCTACAACTCCACCCAGGAGAGAAGGCACAGCTTGACCTGGGATGTGTGTGCTCTGGTCCGGGGAAAGGGGTGGTGACTGTACATGGCCTCTTCACTAAGAACAACTCATTCCTTGAAGAAGTGTCAGGAACAAAATCAAACCCCGCTTGCTTCTCAATACCTCAGTTCATCCGGGAGAATGCTGTCAATCATTTCCACTGGGAACATTTCCTTACTAGCTTTAGCTTGTCTGTAGGTATTTAAATAAAAGTACACAACCACTTCCACGGTGCTTTGAGAGCTTCCCTTTTAAAGCACTATATGTTCAGAGGAAATTTAGATCTTTGTTTGGCCACCAGAAGGTGATTAAATTACATTACCCAAGGTTATCAATGCCTTTGACAAGGCAAACACCCAACCTTCTCATACTGCAGTGCTCTCAGGATTTTCCAAATAAATGGGGACACAGGGATAGCATGTGCCAAAGGGGTGACTTAGCAAGGCTGATGAGCTGCTCCAGATGCATCCCTAGGTGCCCTTGCTTTGTTTTCTTTCGATTCCTAGTTCCCTTCCCACTGCCCGGCCCCAATCTGTGAGACTCCCATGAATGCATGGCCGGTCTTATAGTCGTTAATGCAGAGGAATGCTCGGGACAGGAGTTACTTTTCTCACCGCTGTGACAGTGATGACCCAAAACAGAACAACTCACAGAAAGAAAGGATTAGTTTGACTCACGGTTTGAGGCAACACGCCATGGCAAAGGCAGGTGGGTCACCTGGACACGCTGCATCCAAAGTCAGAGATCGTGGAGAGAAAAATGCTAATGATGCCCCCACACCTCAATATGTTATTGGGTCTGATTAACCTTTTCTGGAAACATTCACGGACCCACTCAGAAATGTGTCTCCTCAGTGATTCTAAATCTTTGTCAAGTTGAGAATGAAGATCAATCATGGAAAGTCTACCCCTCAAATCGGGTGCATGGTGGTGCACACCTTTAGTCCTCCCACTTGGGAGGCAGAGGCAGGCAGAACTCTGTAAGTTTCAAGGCAGCCTACAGAGCAAATTCCAGAGCAGCAAGAACAGTTACAGAAACTGCCTCGAAATAAAAAAGTCTACCCCTTATTAATTTGATACCAAAACACAGCCACTTTTGGTCATAACATTTCATTCCTCATCATCAAAGATTATGGTTTTCTCATAATGAAAAATATTTTATTTTAACCTGTGTCAAAGTCTGTGTCTTAGTTAGGGTTCCACCACTGTGAAGAGACATTTAATTGGGCCTGGCTTACTGTCTCAAAGGTTTAGTCCATTATCATCATGGTGGGAAGCATGGTGGCATGCAGGCAGACATGGTGCTGGAGAGATAGCTGAAAATTCTACATCTGGATCAACAGGCAGCATGGAAAGAGTGATACTGAGCACGACTTGAGCATCTGACACCTTCAAGTCCACCCCAGTGACACACTTTCTCCAGCAAGGCCATGCCTCCTAACAGCGCCACCTCAGTCTGCAGAGTTTTAACAGTTCTGCTGTAGTTCAAAAGGAAAGAGTTAAAGTCTTCTAAGAATCAAGATATTCACTAAACTCTGATCTATAAAATCAAAACATGAGTTACATACTTCCATTATATGATAGCACTGAATAAACACTGCCGGGGAAAGGTGCAAAGAAAAATCAGACCCAAACAACATAGAAATCCAGCAGGACAAACATAAACCCATGGCAACTTAGGCTTCACCTCTGTAGCGCTATGCAATGGCTCCTAGGGCTTTTTTTTTTTTTTTGTAGGGATTCTGACCCTGCCACATATTGACTGACCTCAGCAGCTTTCTGGAACTATGGTGCAAGCATCTATAATCCTATAACACTTGTGTGTTCATGCTTGCAAAACCATGTGGTTACTGCTGCTGGATTTGGCGCAGTTAAGGGGCATTCTGCCTGGCTTCTGCCATAGCTCCAGCCATGGTGTGCTCTGGCAGCCTGAGCTGGAAACCACTTTCTCTAAGTGGTTGTTTTCAAGCACGGCTGCCCCTCAGCAGCCTTCTCGGTTAAACCTCTCTCCGCTCAAATTTGCATTTTTGCAGGTTGCATGTAGGTGGACTTTTCTGTCCTGGCTGGCAGTCAGTTCCCAAGTAATCACACAGAGACTTATTATTATTTATAAATAGCTCCGGTTTGTGACTAGCTAACTTCTGTTTTTTTTTTTTAATTTATCTATTTATTTTGTTTTTCGAGACAGGGTTTCTCTGTAGCTTTGGAGCTTGTCCTGGAACTAGCTCTTGTAAACCAGGCTGGCCTCAAACTCACAGAGATCCGCCTGCCTCTGCTTCTTGAGTGCTGGGATTAAACGCATGTGCCACCACCACCCAACTGCTAACTTACGTTTCAGATTAACCCTTAATCCTCATCTACATCCTGCCACGTGGCTTGGTGCACCTCTTCTCGGGGAGGCAAGTTCATCTCCTGTCCATCTCCTCGAGATTCTCAGACTCCTCCCTCCTTCACATGCTCCTTGTCTGCAGGTCCCCCTATCATCTACCTGTTCAGCTATTGGGCAATCAGCTCTTTATTAACCCAATCACAGTGACATATATTCATACTATAAAGGAATACTTCACAATTATGGGCTTTGATGGTTGGAATCTTGCCCTCTTATCTCCCCATGAAGATAAAGAGGTTCCTCTTAAGTTCCGCGTCAACAATTGAAGCTGCTTTTCCTTGCTGAGGCTTTTCCATGACTTTAAACTCACTTTCTTTACCAAAAGACCTATTTTTTTATTGTTCATTATTCTTTTTCTTTAATTGTAAATCTAAATAAGAGCATTGAGTAACAAGCATGCTGCAACCTGGATGGTTTGCTGTCTCTAAGTCTTGTTTGTCAAATAAATTTGTCCATTACTTCAGCATTCAACTACACCTACACTTTCGAACTTTAGGTGGGAAAATGGGACAGGTGACTTCTTGTCCAATTCCTGATGAAGTCCTTGTTCCACTCTGAAACTTCACGAGCACACCTTTTACTCTCTGCCTCTCTGTTGATGTCCTGGTCTTTACCATTCCCGTCAGAATGGTCCATTGGCTGTCCTGGGTTTGCAGCATCCTGGGGTGTCTCCAGCACGAGGCTCCAAACCCATCCCTATTCTCCCCACGAGCTAGCTCTAAAGGGTTACCACTGGTCAGGTTTGTCATAGCAATGGCCCCACTCCTGGTACTGATGTTCTGTATTGGGTCACTTTTCTCATTCCTGTGATAAAAATCCCTGGGAAACCAACTTAAAGAAGAGTTTGCTTCGGCTCACAGGTTGAGTTGAGGTTCATCCTGGCAGCTATCACACTGGTCGTCTGTAGTCCCTGAACAAAGTGGGGGAGGGGAAGGGATGCTGATCTGGTGCTCAGCCCATTTTCTCCTTTTAAAGTTTTATGCTGGGATAAAACCGGACTCGCTGAACATAGTGGACAATGAGGACTACTGAGAACTCAAGAACAATGGCAATGGGTTTTTGTTCCTACTGCACGAACTGGCTTTGTGGGAGCCTAGGCAGTTTGGATGCTCACCTTACTAGGCCTGGATGGAGGTGGGTGGTCCTTGGACTTCCCACAGGGCAGGGAAACTTGATTGCTCTTTGGGCTAACGAGGGAGGGGGACTTGATTGGGGGAGGGGGAGGGAAATGGGAGGCAGTGGCGGGGAAGAATCAGAAATCTTTAATAAATAAAAAAAAGTTTTATGCAGCTTTGGACCCAGCCCATGGCATTATGCTGTGCACATTCAGGATGTGTCTTCCACCCTCAGTTAAATCTCTCCGGAAACATCCTCACAGACACTCAGAACCGTTCTCCTAGATGACTATCTTACTTAGGGTTCCTATTGTTGTGACAAAACACCATGACCAAAAAACAAGTTACAGAAGAAAGAGTTTATTTGGCTCACACTTCAGGATTGCTGTTCATCACTGAAAGAAGTCAGGACAGGACCAAACTGGGCAGGATCCCGGAGGCAAGAGTTGATGCAGAGGCCATGGAGAGGTGCTGCTTACTGGCTTGCTTCCCATGGCTTGCTCAGTTCACTTTCTTATAGAACCAGGACAAGCAGCCCAGGGATGACACCATCCACAGTGCCCTGGGTCCTCCCCCATTGTTCACTGAATGAGAAAATGCCTTACAGCTGGATCTCGCTGAGACACTTCTTCAACTGAGGCTCCTTTCTCTGATGACTCTAGCTTGTGTCAAGTTGACACACAGAACCAGCCAGGACAATGATTCTACAATAGTCAAGTTGCTAATGAAGACTATCAGTAGTAAGAGTTCTTGTGTAGTGTTCTGTTCTCATATGTGTGTGTGTGTGTGTGTGTGTGTGTGTGTGTGTGTGTGTGTGTGTGTGCAGTGAGAATTCCTTCCCTGGGGAGAAGTAAATAAACATCTACCCTCTCTTTCTCTAAGACCCCAGTAACAAACCAATGAACCATTCCACCAAGTCTAAAGTCCAACTTGGAGAACCAATGAGTTTATTAGACTTACAAAGGGCGAGGGGTTGCTGCCAGGAATGCGGGTAATTTCAAAGCGGTCATACTGGGAAGTTCAGCCAGCACAGATGGCTTCTCCACAGGTTCATAAATGCTTGCCCTTCTGGTGTACAATCCGCAGTCAGCACTCTAGCGCCTCTTGAGACGAAGCGGGCAAGTGCAGTTAGAGCAGAATTACCTACAGATGGATGGGAAGGGCAGGAATGTTGCAGCTGGAACTTCAGTTGATGGTCCAAGGACTCCCCCATCACCTCTTTCTGTGATGGGAACATCTAAAGTCCAGAAGGTCTACCATGGTGGTGTCTGGGAAGCAAGCCCAGCTGATATGATGAAGATGGCAGCTGTTTGGCTCAGAGAAATGCTTCTCTCTCTCTCTCCCCTCCCCCCCCCCGTGTGTGTGTGTGTGTGTGTGTGTGTGTGTGTGTGTGTGTACACGAGGAAGCTAGAGGTCAACCTGGGATGTCATTCTTGAGACAGGGTTTCTTACTGGCCCAGAACTGGCCAATCAGAAAGCCCCAGAGATCCACCTGCCTCCACTTCCCCCGCCCTGGGTTTACAAGTGCACACTATTATGCTTAGCTTTTTTACATGGGCTCTGGAGACCAGACACAGGTCCCCGAGCTTACACAGCAAGCACTTTACCAACTGAACCTGTCCTTCCAGCATCTGTCCTTCCTGCTTTTGATACAGAAAGTGGAGAGAAAGTTGGGAGGGCGGGGGCAGGACCTGTACTATAGTCAGTCTGTGAGCATTGTTCACAACAGCTCATCTGGAAACTGAGCTTAGCTTCAGTGATTCTAACTGATAGCATCTCGCCATTGGCCCCATTGGTCACTCACAGGCACTAGTCACATATGGCTCCTCAGAGTGTAAAACGAAATCTTACTATGTCTTCTATAGAACTTAAAATCATAGGTGATGTTGGCCTCCAGGCATTAGAAAGCAGGAGTCTAGACAGTTAGAAAGCTCTTCGTGGTGTTAAGCTTAAGTCTGCCTTTTGAGCTCTTTTGATTTTGCCTTCTGAACAATTAACAGAATTCTTTAATAGGACAGTCAGTTCAGTATTTGAAAACAACTCTTCCCCATCCGTTTATGACATGTGTTAGATATTATTTATCTGGCCTTGGAAGACATTGAGCTGGATGATTTTGTGAATAGCCTATCTGACTGTTGCTGGGCTCTCAGGGAACAAACTGAGTTCACAGCTGCCCCCTTATCAGTGGTGAGTAGTCACTCAAGAGTTCAACCAGAGAACAAGGAGTGTTCTTTTAATATGAGAAAAATGCAAAACCCTCATAAACAGAGCCTGGGGATTATGGGAAGGGAATCCTACTGGGCTTTGCCATCATCCCCATTCTGATTGTTGGGGACCCAGCTCCACACGGAGTGTGGTTTGTCTGGTTGATGCTTTTCATCTCGGAGGAAAGGGTCTTTCTGAGCTGCTCCCTGAGCTGCAGTGTCCTCCCCATTCCCACCCCAGACTGCCAGTCTGGGACAGGTAGTGCCACCATCACATGGGCCAGAGATACTACTGCAAAAGGCAGTGCCCATGATTTATAATTTATTACAACCCCACCTATCTCACCGGATTTCCTGAGCCATTGGCTACTGAGCTGGGAACCCGAGTTTGGATTCCAGAGCCCTTGGGAAAAGTAGGCATGGTGGTGTGCATGTGAAATCCCAGCATGGGGAAAGTGGAGGCAGGGGCTTGCTGGTTAGCCAGTTCCAGGTTAGTAAGAAACACTGTCTCAAAAATCAAGGTGGCTGGGTGGTGGTGGCTCATGCCTTTAATTCCAGCACTCGGGAGGCAGAGGCAGGCAGATCTCTGTGTTTGAGGCCACACTGGTCTACAAGAGCTAGTTCCAGGACAGGCTCCAAAGCTACAGAGAAACACTGTCTCAAAACAAACAAACAAACAAAAAAACAGACAAACAAAAAGTCAAGGTGGATAGTTTCCTGAAGAATGAGACACCAGGTTGGCCTCTGGCTTCCTCAGAGAATGACTGCCTGTTACTGTATCTTGAACTGCTTAACTGTGTTTCCTTCTAGAAGTTTCAGTGTTTGGGTTCCATATTAAGGTCTTTCTTCTATTTTAAGTTGATTTTGATTTAGACATCACAAGTATTTATCAAATTCAGCAAATGAGTGTGTGTGTGTGTACACTCATATCCTCCTCTAAATGTTTACCTTCTCAAGGGAAAAGTATTCTCTATTGGAACCACAGTAAAATCAATCAAATCTGCAAAGTTAATCTTGATGAAAAATAACCCAACCCAAGGACTGAAAAAACATTTCAATGTAGGGTCCTGGTGGCAAATATTTCAGCCTTACCAGGGTGCGTGCTCTGTCACATGTCTTGAGTTTTGCAGTTGAGAACGCGGCCACAGCCAGCACATGAATGAATGGGCGTGGCTACATTCCAAAAAAACGTTATTTGTGAAACACTGGACAGCCTGATGCCGGCTCACAGGCTGTGTTTTGCTGTGGATCTAATCTGCAGTGTCTACCCAGATCTCACCCATATCCCAGGAACGTGCCAAGGCTTTGCCTTTCCAGTCGCTGAGCGTCTGGGTTTCATTCTAACTGGGGCTGTTTCTGATCCGTCTTCATCTCTCACTGACAAATCCGAGGACAGGACGGTGACTTCGCAACATGTCCTCCATCCTGGGTCTGTCTTGTGTGTCTCTGTCATTAACATGTAGTTTACACTCGCCACAAATTCCGTGTGTTGCCCGTGTGCCAACCTTAAAGGTGACCTGACCAGGCTGCTGACGACAGGGCTGCCAGTCTCAGCCTCTCTAGCGCTTGTGTATGTGTATGTGGGGATGCCTGTGTGGATGAGGTTTGGGCTTGGAAAAACTCCCAGTTCCCAGGCTTCCATCCGCTCGTGCATCTCCACAGCTGAGCCTCCCTCACCTCCATCCTCTCGCGCATCTCAGCAGCTCAGCCTCCCTCACCTCCATCCTCTCGTGCATCTCCACAGCTGAGTCTCACCTCCATCCTCTCGCGCATCTCCACAGCTGAGTCTCACCTCCATCCCTTTTAACAGCTTCTCCATTGTGACCAGCTGAAGGTATATAACTCCATCAGGCGTTTGCTCAGCTCTCTGTGTCTGAACTTCCAAGTCTGTGGCTCTGCAGGTGAAGGGGGTGGCAGAGCACGGTGTCAGGGGTGTGTGGACGCCCCGTCACATACAGGACAGAAAGACAGCTGGCTCTTGGCATGACTTAGGGGATCTCACGAGGCCCAGGAGGTTTTAGACAAGTACTTGCAGAAGGCATGCCCTCCATGCCCTAATGAGCTTCCACGAGGCCCCGCCTCCTGGAGTTTGTGACCCTGCACAGCCTGGGGTCAAGCCTCAGTCTAGGGGCCTCTGAGGAGGACGGAGCATCCAGGCCACAGCTGTTTCCAAATGGAGACGTTACACGTGTATCATTCCCTCCACATCTGAGCTGGACCGGTCCTTGGCTCCTGCTGCTTGATGTATCGGGACGGAACTGTGGCTTCTTTATTAGCTTGTATTTTTTAACGAGCATTATTTATTGCTGTGATTCTGGCTCCTGGCCCTTTGGAAGGTCTCCTGTTCTTTGACCTCCTCTTCACTTTCTGGTGTAACACGTTCACAATGTCCCAAGCTGTTCTCTACCACCGGAGCTGGAGTCAGCTTTTTCTCTGAGGAGCTCCAACTCCTTTTAAAGAAGAAGCTTTTGGCTTCACTAATTTTATCTATCATTGTGTGGGTTCTATTTCAGGCATTTCAATTTTTCATTATCTGCTTATGTAAGCCTTGATTTGCTCTGTTTCTAAATTATTGAGGTGGACACTTAAGTGTCTTATTTAAACATCAAAAACACAAAGCTAGCTCTGAGTGGAACTATGATTCCATAGATACATTAGTATGCTTTGATTGTCTTTCATTCATTTCCTTTCTGATTCCTTCTTAACAGCACAGTTTAAAATTACAGAATTTGTGGAGAGTCTCCACACTTACTGCCACTGGTTCCTAATTTGACCTGTTGTGGCCATGGAACACTATGGTTCGTGACTTTAAGCCTTGCACGTGGATGGACACTTTCTTCATGGCCCTGAGCACTCAGTTGCTCAGGCCCGCTAAGTCTTGCTGATTTTCTGTCAACTATTAATTATGAAGAAAGAGGAATTGAAACTTGCAGTTAAAAACTGTGGGTTCAGGAGCTTAAAGATGTAGGCATAGACAATGGCTTTCTGAGAGACTCCCAGCATCTCAGAAAATAGTAGCAAGAACTGACAAACGGATTAGAGCAAAGAAAAAAAAAAGTTGTGTAGCAAAAGAAAAAGAGTCATCAGAGTGAAGAGACAGCTACAGAGGGAACAGACCCTGGACAAGGAGATCTCTCTATCTGTACACACTGGGTGGGGGAGCTCTCTCTATCTCTACACACCGAACAGGGGAGATCTCTCTGTTCTACATGCCAGATGGGGGAGATATTTATTTCTGAAAGATTAATGAAACAAATCCAATCAACAATTGGGACAATGAATTTGTCCCTTCTTAAAAGAAATACAAATGGCCAGAATGTATTTAAGACATCTGCAAGTTTGGTCTCTTGATCCTGTATCACGGTTCTTGGACGTTGTTTTATTTGATGTCTGGGTGTTGCACTTACTCAATCCTGTCTCTCACCTCTGGTATTTATTCTCCTTAATCATATCCATCAGTGCTGGTTTGCCCTGCTCTTTAATAAAATTTTCTTTGCAACATTTCTGGCTGATGTTTTTCAAGCTGTTTCTCGCTGACTTTCTCTCCCATGCTGCTGGGCTCATGTCTCTGTCTTGACTCCCTTACTTTCCCATTCATCCTGTCTCCTTCCCCTTTGAAGCTGCATTTTTAGAAGCTGAATCCCTTTCCTGCACTTCAACCATTCCAGTATCACCAGATTCATTGATGGAAGAATTGTGATCTCTTGGACGTATCATGTTTGTCTTGCTTTTTCACATTTGTGTGTATGTTTCTGTGTTGCAATTTGCATATCTTCTGTATTTGGCTATTTCTTCTGGATGTATCTGGGCATCTTTTTAGTAAGCAACTGACTCTGGAGGAATCACTCTCACCATTAATTACTAATTGATATAGGGAGATGCTATGGGACAATGGTCTTATACCCTGTAAAGATTTGTCAGTTATATTGGTTTAATAAATGCTGATTGGCCAGGAGCCAGGCAGGAAGTATAGACGGGGTGACCAGAACAGGAGAATTCTGGGAAGAGAAAAGGCTCGGACTACAGTTGTCACCCAGACACAGAGGAGGCAAGATGAGAATGCCTCACTGATAAAAGGTACCAAGCCATGTGGCTAACACAGACAAGAATAATGGGTTAATGTACGATGTAAGAGTTAGTTAATAAGAAAGCCTGAGCTAATAGGCCAACAAGTTTATGATTAATGTAGGCATCTGTGTGTTTCTTTGGGACTGAAAAGCTGCAGGACCAGGCAGGACAGAAATGTCTGTCAATAGGAAGATCCAACCCATTGTGAGTAGCACCATTCCCTAGGCCTGAACTCTGTAAGAAAGAAGAAAGCTGGTTAGTGAGCAAGGAGACAGCATGGGCACGTTCATTTCTCCCTTCTCATTGTGGATGTGATGACAAGTAGTCTCCGGCTCCTGCCTCTGTGACATCCCTGCAGTGACAGCCTGCAACCTAGAATTGTAAGTTACACTAGATAATTCCTTGGCTGCAACTCTTTCTGGGTGATTCCAGGTTGTGTCAAGTTGACAGTTAAAACCAACCTTTCCCCTGAAGTTGCTTTTGGTTAAGCTCTTTTATCAACAACAATGAACAGCAACAAGAATGAAGCTAAGGCATACTGGAGATCCTCTTGTAGCCTCCTCCCAAGGGCTGGGCTAACCCACGAACCACACTCCCTGCTCTATTTTTAACATTACCAAAGTGGCGCCTGATTTCTGGTGTGTCTTTTCCCATCATTTAAATGCAACAGCACAGAGAATGAAATAATGGCCAGGATTTATACCCTTCAACTCTACAAATACCACTGCATCATCTACCTGGTTCTCTGCCACTGTTCTCAGGATAATGCTCCAACTTTGGCTGCTGCATTTTTTTTTAATATGCTGTCTTTGCTCTTCTGTAGTTGGTGTTTCCTGGTGTAGACGTCTTTGCATTTACCCTGTGGGGTGTGCCTGGGCTTCCAGATCAGTATGAAATATTCTGGGCCAGGAATTCTAAGCGTTTACTTTCCTGCTGTATACCCTCCTCTTTAGAACTGAAGGGTGACTATGACCAGAGTCCACTGTGTCTTGGCCATGTCCATGTCCCACTGTTCCCTTCAGTGTTTCATTCAGTGCTGTACTGGCCTGATGTCCACTTGCAGGTTTTTTTGTTTTTGTTTTTGTTTTGAGACAAGGTTTCTCTGTAGATTTGGAGCCTGTCCTGGAACTAGCTCTTGTAGACCAGGCTGGCCTTGAACTCACAGAGATCTGCCTGCCTCTGCCTACCAAGTACTGGGATTAAAACTATGCACTACCGCTGCCTGGCTCTTTTGCAGTTTTTCTAAATTCTACCTCTGGCTTATAGGCATACCTGCTCCCTTTCCCCCACAGCACAGAATTCCAGGGAAATGGGCTGCTGAGGAGAGGCTCTCACTATCAGGAGTCTTGCAGGACAACTTTGCAGGTTATCCCTTTCGAGTGCCCATTCTGTCTCACCATCCTCCTAGAGGAAGCTTTGAGAAGGCTGTCCAGCTGGGGTAACCGCTCAGGATGAGCAAATGGGTCATCTTTGTAGAGCGCTCTTGACCATGGCTCTTGCAACTGCACTGCTTGAGGGCCAGCGGCTTTAAACAGGACACAGACTCAGCTGCTCCAACACTTGTGAGTTGGCCTTTGGGTGCTTCAGCCCAGGAGCAGAGGCCTCGCACTCAGCAGCATCTCTACTATCAGTCTTTTATGTCAGAAGGAAACCCACCGATCTGTCTGCGGTTAGAGCTGCCAACTCAACACAACATAGAATCTCCCAAGAAGAGTCTCAGCTATCTAGATCAGGCTGGCCAATGGGGGACTGTCTTGATTGCCTTACTTGATGTGGGAGACACTGCCTGAAAATGGGTGGCACCATTTCTTGGCATTGGGCCCCAGACTGTGTGGGTAGAGAAAGCTAGCTGAATATTAAACTTCTGTTAATTCATTCTCTCACTCTTGACTGCGGTTTTGGCCAGCTGCTTCAGGTTACTGCCTGTACCTCCCTGTAATGATAAACTCTACCTTTGCATTGTGAGCTAAAATAGACCATTTCTCTCATCAGCTGTCTGTCAGGAAATTTGTTAGAAGCAACAGAATAAAACTAATGCAGAAACTGGTACTGAGAAAGAAGAGTCGTAGCTGTGACCTGACCACATGGCTCTTAAAGGCCTTTGCAGCCATCCAGGGGAAGAATGTGGAAGTGTATGGCACGTTAGAGTGGACAAATGATTGAATGCTGGAAGCGCACCTCAGTGGGTAGCTCTGGGGGAGCTTAGAAGACTGCAAGGTTGAAAGAAACATGAACAGCAGAGGTCTGGCTTAGGGTCTCAGTGGGAACGCAGACCTCAACAGTAACTGGATAGGGGCCGTCTGCATGGCATTTTGGTCAAGGATCTGGATTCGTTCTGCCTGTGTCCTGACAACCTGAAAGAGGCAGATCCTAAAGATAATGGACTGGTTTGTTGGCAGAGGAAATAGCAAGGCAGGATGATGTTCTGGCTGGTGCTGAAGCAGCAGCTGTAACGGACAGATCAGCACCATGGCAGAGAAGCCTCCTGCCCTGCAGTGGGACAAGAGGAAAGCCTTTCCTCAGGTCAGCACAGCTGGTACAGCTGTGGTCCAATGGAGCCAGGCTGTATCCCAGGCTGGCAGCAGCCCCCAGCAGTGTTGTGTCATCTGCAAGATGCTGGTTTGGAATGTAAAGATGTAAGATTGGAGGCATCGCGGAGAACAGCTGAGGCTGTTGTAAGACTGTTAACCAGGCAAAGGTGTGTTACATTTGTTTATGCTGCATTTAATTATGTCAAGCTGGGTTGACTCTTTCACCTTGCCTGCCTAAGGCACCTGATTGATCTAATGAGCTGAATGGCCAATAACTAGGCAGGGCTGATGGGCTGAGACAATAGGAGATATCTAGAAAGAACGAATGGATATCTAGAAAGAGAAGACACGGAGGGAGAGAACGAAGGACATGCCCAGGGCAAGAAGCCAGGCAGATGCCAGACAGACAGATACAGAGAAGCAGTAAGA